GGAATGACCGAGAACAGGAGCGTGGCCAGGTGACGGAAAAGGATGGTGGAGTCAGCTAGTAGAGCGAGCGGTCTTGAACCATCGAGAAGGTTCGGGAATGGGGGTGTGGCCTCGGACCGTATATAAGGGAGATGCGTGGGAGACTCGGAGCTGTTGCAGTGGGGGTCTCCACTGTTCAAGTATGAGCACGTGGCTCCTTAAATAAGGAAACCATCTCAAGACAAGTGCGTCGAAGTCGTCATGACACATTCACTAGATTCTAGAGCACAGGGAAGCATTCGCTTATCTTTAAAGTAGAGTGTAATTTCTTATTACCAACAACATATTTGTGCATGGTGTTGGAACTCATTTTCTATACTCACAAGAACTTATCACATATCTGCCTATACATCGGTGAGAGCCAGTCAAATATGCTGCGGTGCACTATATGTGTATATATATATATAATATTTGCTCTTTAATAAATAGATCATTCGCTTTGAGAGAGGGAGATAACAACCCAAAACAATAGAGTGCTCAGCCAGGAGGCTTCCATCACAAAGAGCAGATAAAATAACTCTTGCCCTTAAACACATCACCTAAATCTGGGAGGTGTTTGTTCCAAAAGCGGAAATAAGATTGAAACACCATTCTATTCAGTCGCTTGAAATAACTAAACTTGTTTTCATGGCTTCTGAGGAGGGCAAGGGTGGAGGGATGGGGGAGGGTTACAATTATATTTTTTTGTGATATATACACCAGGGGGTTCATTCAGAGAAACCCGTGACGGTATACTGTACAGGGTAATGTGGGCCGACATGGGAATGTACTTGACCTTTACTCTGCAATTCTTTCGGTAATCATCTTGTGCCCAACGTGGGACCGCCCGTGGACAATCGTTTTGAAAGGGGAATGACGAAGCCTGCACAGGAGCTTGTTTTCAATTGAATAACAAATGGTTCTGATTGTGTACGTTTTTGTTGTTTAAAGAGCCGAGTTCTCAGAGGCAATGCTCGCGAGGACACCTTTGGCACCGTAAGCACGCTGGGGTAAACATTAACGGCGAGCGATACTCAGGGCTTCATTTCCTCACTCGATATGCTCACGGCACACTTGCTGGTTTGAAGTCGGGATAATCACCACGAGGCTCTGTCACTAAATCACAAGGTACAGCCTATTCATCATATATTATATTCCTATAATGATAAGAACAGGATTATAAAACGTAACGAGGACAAAATAAGGCGGGATGGATGTGGCGTGACAATCGTTACTGGAACAGCGCGTACCCGACCTGTTTCGGGCTGAAATTAAGAATTGGCGACACCACAATTCAAACGTTACAAATGAATGACGGTCGTAGAAAAATAATTACAATAAACACACAAAAAACAATCACGGGACATCATGATTAATTTCACAGTACTTGCGGCATATTCAAACTAAGTTAGTGGCTGTGCGGCTATTAGTGACAAATATTTGTTCTATGCACGTGAAGGCACAAAAGGACAGCATGATATTTTTTGCCGCATGGCGGAAATAACTTAACGCAGTGCCCCCCTCTCAGATTTGCCAGCAAAGTCCTCCCCCGCTCTGCGCACGTGGCATTCTAATCCGAAACACTTAAATGCAGGGCCCATCAAGCTGATTCGCGCTCTCCGTCTCGCGCCAATGCAAATGCGCGTTTACACCGAGCATACATTACCAAGAACGGTTGCCGTCGGCTGCTCGGCCCGTGACGGCCACCGCTGTTGCAAGGGCTTTTTAAATCTTTTATATTAAGTTCGCTTGCTTGCTTGCTTAGGACCGTGCAAATCTTTTGGTCGTTTTTTAACCCACTTCCCGTGATCCAATCGAGCTGACATTTTGCACACAGACTCGTTGTGCGTGACAATGAATTTTCGTGAAAATTTTTTTCCAAAATTTTACACTGTTTAGGGAAAAAAAATTAGATATTTATTTACCAATTGGTTAATGCTGGCACACAATCATCTGACCCATAAGTGGCAGCCATCTCAAGCCAGAGGACGAGAGGACTCTAGCCGCCACGCATATAAAGGATTTATTTTGAAAAACTTTTTTTTACGGGTTAATTTTTTGTTTGTTTGTTGCGCGGCTCCAGCAAGCGCAGGTCCGTGAAACAAATCTCAGCCATGCCCCTCCCCCTCGATGGCCACGTGCCCAGAGCCCCCCACTCCACCCACCCCACCCCCGTGGCGTCCCATCCATCACCGGTCCGCTCGTTTCACTCTAAAGATTCCCCCGGATGGTAGAGCGGCGTGCTTCAGGTGCGCTCCGAAAATAATAAAATAAAAGAATGACTCACGCTAGGGGAAAGGCATTGTCTTCCAAAAAGTAATTATATTCTTTTGTTTAACTACAAAGCCCCGTTGATATTTTTTGTTTTGTTTCTTTCAACTCTTTCATTCAAAGGTTAAAGATATAAAAGCACTGCCCTGCAATTTCTCGCCCGTGCCACCGCTGGCTGAAGAGCCTCCACACGAGAGGGAGCTCGAGAGAGGCCCCCTACGACTACACATTCGTCTATTCCTCCGTGCTGGCAAAATATATTGGAAAAAGTGGTAGTACCCACACGTTACCTCACCGCACACGGCCTGCCAATTGACTCACCGTGGTGTACCCATTTATAAATCGAGGTGGATGGGAACAAAACAAAATGTTTAGAAACTTGCAGCATTATTTCAATTTTATTATATTTTATTTTTATTATTTTATTATTTCCCTTCTACGTGACTTTACCGAAAGAACCAAGAAGATGAATCCCTGCAGTCACGCAAGCTTTAAATTACCGTGCCGGGAGATAAAACCGGTGACCTCTACATCACAAATCACGTGTGCTAACCATGAAACAATGGCAGCAGTTCAATCACAATGCCCTTCATACTTATGAGTCTGAAGACCAATTTCGAGGACGGTCCTGCTTTACGATGTTTTGACAATAACATTACAACCAGTGTTTGAGATGTGCGGAGAAAACCAAAGCATATGGGGTGATAACACTCAGATGTCTACATCGGTAGTTTCAATAATCCATTACTCTACTCTCACCTCCGATTCCAGTAAAGTACATCGGTTCAACTGTTTGGCTGTTTCCATATTCGAGTATTTAAAGGAAGCTTGAGTGCCTGCAGAAAACCCCACGTGTCTACGAATAGACAACATTCGCTCTCTACACAGTTAGGTCATAAACCTACTTGATGTACTCATTCTGAAAATGCAGCTCATTCGTTACCCTGGGGATAAGTGTCTGCAGTGGTGGCGTTAGGCATAAGCTCAGGTGCTGAAAGAGATCAAGGGGGCCCATGATTCATGGAAAAAATAGGGGTGTATCAAATATATCCTCAAATTAAAATCCTAATAAACTCAACAAGCCAATTTATTTTTTTCGATTTAAAGCTTGCGTGACTGCAGGGATTCATCTTCTTGGTTCTTTCGGTAAAGTCACGTAGAAGGGAAATAATAAAATAATAAAAATAAAACATAATAAAATAATTCTCACGAAGTTTCGGCCACAACGCAAGCAGCCGTACTCAGGTCTGTCGGAAAGACAGTGTCTCAATCAGACGCTGTCTTTCCGACAGACCTGTTCTTCACCTGAGGACGGCTGCTTGCGTTGTGGCCGAAACGTCGTGAGAATTATTTTATTATGTTTATTTTTATTAGTTTATTATTTCCCTTCTACGTGACTTTACCGAAAAAACCAAGAAGATGAAGCCAATTTATCTCCCTCAAATCTTTCTCTTCTCCGTATCTCTCTTCTCTTGCACCTCTGATTAGCACGGTCGGCTACGCACGGTGCAAAAGAAGTTCAACATACATACGCGAATACTCTCATCGCACTACCGTCTCAAAGTGTGTCGATATTTCTCTCGTCTCACGACATCTACATCTCTTGTTCATATACATTCTGTCATCTTGCTAGGATTTAATAAATTGCAAGGGGGGGGGGGAGTGGGGGGAGGGGAGGAGGGAAGGGGGTTCAATGGGCTAGCACCCCCACCCTGAGCATCCACGAAGACAAAGGCTTCGGTCACACGCTGCCTGCTTGCAGCGTTGACCCGGTACATCCACACAGCTTTACGAAAAACCTGGGCTTAACTGTGCTCAATCCTTTAGCAGAAAATTTCATAGAGGATAACCGTTTTTTTTCCGTATCAAAATGAAAACGCTGAAACTGAACCTTTGATAGACAGACCCGCATTATGTGGTATATATATTAAAGATCACTTTAAAGAGCCAAGTGCGGCCTGCGTTCGAGTCAAATTATGCGTGGCAAAAAAAGAGAGCCGTAGAAGTTGAATAGAGCCAGACCGAGAGATGCGCGCAGCTGAACCGTCCCTTCACAGCTTGCCTCGCTCCCATATTCACGACCTCACGCGCCCGGCACTTTTTAAATCCTTTATATTAAGTTCGCTTGCTTGCTTACGACCGTGCAAATCTTTCGGTCGTTTTTTAACCCACTTCACGTGATCCAATCGAGCTGACATTTTGCACACAGACTCGTTGTGCGTGACAATTAATGTTCGTGAAAAATTTTCTTCAAAATGTTACACTTTTTAGGACAAAAATATTATATTGAATTACCAATTGCTTAATGGTGCAATGCAATCATCTGACCCATAGGTGGCAGCCATCTCAAGCCAGAGGACGAGAGGACTCTAGCCACCACGCATATAAAGGATTTATAGTGAAAAACTTTGTTTTTACTGGTTATACTTATTACAAAATGAAAATCGGACTCACCCCCACTCGAAAATAAACACCTGCCTGCCACTCGCCACCGCAGAAACACCCCAGGACATGCCCACACCCTGTGCCAACATTGCCTTCAAGGACATTGCACATTAATTGATTTACGGGGCAAAGGCGGGAGGGATAAACGTACGTAGGAAGCTGCGGGGGGTGCTGGGTTGGGGGGGAAGGAGGTGGGCGAGGGTTCGTCAAAGGAGACACCGTTCATTACGCAAAGCGAGGCGAGGGGGTTACAAAAATGCACTTACGTCGACATTCCTTGCAGCATTTGTTGGGGATGAATATGCCAGCGGAGTCCGAAGGACACTGCAGCGCAGGGCACGCAAGCTGCTCGCACTCCACGCTCCCATTCTGCAAGGTAGAAGCGTTGACTCCATCAGGATGTTATTTACCCATTGGCAACAGCAAAAACTCCCCGGGGGGCTGCGCAGAGCTGAGCTGGGCTGCCCAAGTTAAGGAGCATCGAGAAGACGTACGGTGCATTGCGCTCGTTGGGCCAGAAGAGCCTCACCGAGTCTCGGGACCATTTGTTTGCAGGAGAGTCCTGCCAAAGGTTTTTTTCTGTAAAGGCCGACGATTTGCTGAATTCCGAATTTGGCAAATTTGTGACCGTGACGCTGGCACACACGAGGGGCCTACTCTTGGGAATGGCGTCACGGGATCTTTGACGTCCTCTGTGCAGCAGGCGACATGTAAGTAGCGTTCTGGATTATTCACCCGCAGTGATGATCAGGGCAGCCGCTGAAATCAAACAGTGGACCTCTGCAACAAGCAGCCAACGCGATACCGCGAGGCCACGTCACCAACCCATGACATCACGCTTAGATGCCACAAAGACAAATTGTCAATAGTACGGAAGTTTCAGAGAGCCAAATTAACTAACGATCAGTCAATTACAGGCGCATTGCTCATGCAAGGTGCAGCCCTGACATTGTTTTCTCATGTCACTGCTGGTGGAAAGACCTATCCTCAAGGGAGCTCTAGTGGGAATTTTGGCCTACTCTTCCATTCTGGCCAAATGTCATTGGAAGAGCTGCAAGTACCTACGCTCTACCCCACCACACGTGACCTGTCTATCGATTATTTGCGGTGTACCCATTCATACTGGCAAGTGGACAGAAGCGGCGGAATTTTAAGAAACTTGCCCCGTTGTTTCAACTGGCACGGTCAGAGTTCTCATGGGAGCAGTGATCTCTGGACTGCAAGCCCAGGGTGCTAAAAATCACACCACGGCCGGTATCCTATTGCTCATGCACCGTTGCCAACGTGGCAACGTGAAACCGACAAAGGTGAATAATGAGCATCCCAAAATGTGTTACCTGGCAAAATGTCAAAAGTGTCAAATAAAGCACACGAAGGAGACAGGCGATTGGAGCAAGTGACATAAAATTGCCGAGCACGTGTCAGTGTGGTCGAAACGAGATTCACGTTGACGCAAATCTAGCATCGTTAATGCCAACTCACTCTCAGTGTATCGTGCATCGTACCGCTTAACAAAATGCAAGCCCATTCCTGAGAAACACATCACGTTACCATCTACCGTGCGCGGCACGCACATTCATTGTCTGAGGAATTCGCAATCGAGGTCGCGAGCACGAACAGAATGGCAGCTTTTAGCACTTAGATAACTCACCGACGGCACACAAAGGCAACAACAAGTCACTGCCGTAAGTGAATAGTTGATATAGATGACATACAATATTTAATGTAAATAGCATGCATTAAGAGTGATGATGCCAGTATGAATAAGTACTAGCTGCCATCGGCATCATTTATGGGAATTAATTTAGCAATTTGAATAAGAGACAGTGATCACGTAAAGTATTGATGGTATGCCTTCACTGGTAATTCATAACTGGCAGCGACCTGATGATTCCTTGCTTTCCAATCTACGGTCGTGTCATTTATAAAGGGAATGAGAAATGTGTTTGTGGACTAAATAACGTTATAGAATTATAAATGTCCTATCCAGAAAACTGGTGAACCCATCCATAATGCTGGGTAGACTGAGGCTGGGGTGGGGTGGGGTGGGGAGGGATTTGGCATCACGGTGGCTAGGAGATGTTAACTCCCTCGCCTGGTACACAGGAGGGCGTGGGTTCGATCCCAACAATGACGCCTGCTATATATTTGGAGTTTGCGTGTCTTTCTCATCATCATCACGGTGGCTAGGAGATGTTAACTCCCTCGCCTGGTACACAGGAGGGCGTGGGTTCTATCCCAACAATGACGCCTGCTGTATATTTGGAGTTTGCGTGTCTTTCTCATCATCATCACGGTGGCTAGGAGATGTTAACTCCCTCGCCTGGTACACAGGAGGTCGTGGGTTCGATCCCAACAATGACGCCTGCTGTATATTTGGAGTTTGCGTGTCTTTCTCATCATCATCACGGTGGCTAGGATATGTTAACTCCCTCGCCTGGTACACAGGAGGTCGTGGGTTCGATCCCAACAATGACGCCTGCTGTATATTTGGAGTTTGCGTGTCTCTCTCATCATCATCACGGTGGCTAGGAGATGTTAACTCCCTCGCCTGGTACACAGGAGGTCGTGGGTTCGATCCCAACAATGACGCCTGCTGTATATTTGGAGTTTGCGTGTCTTTCTCATCATCATCACGGTGGCTAGGAGATGTTAACTCCCTCGCCTGGTACACAGGAGGTCGTGGGTTCGATCCCAACAATGACGCCTGCTGTATATTTGGAGTTTGCGTGTCTCTATCCCCGTGGTCGTGTGGATGTTTTTTCGGGTCCTCCGGTTTTTCCTTCCACATTTAGAATCAACATCACGCGTTTAGAGTATTTGGCTGCTATACATTTCCACGTGATAAGCCACTTCGTTGGACTATCATTTGTGGCCATGTCGCTTTTGAAAAATAGCTATATAGCTCGGTGGACCTTATCTAAAATAAATAATAGTTTAGTTTATTTAAGCACCGTTGTACAACTGGTGTGACAGGAGATCGAACCGCCGACTTCTGGAATGCAGGTCCACGATGGCTTCCCTGTAATTTGTACAGAGAGTGAGCAATCTGTTTTTGGAATCGGCGATGTTGTAAAAAAGAAAAAAACATAAATTTGCCTGCAATCGTGGTCACGAAAGCTCTGTATTATTAAAACATAAATTATTTTGACAGACAGCCCAGCCAGACAGATGGAAGAATAAATGAAATAGCTGCCACAGACTGCTGCCTGGTACCTTGCATGAGCAGATCTTACAGCCCGTCTCCCAGCGCTGCCCCTCTGTGTACGTGACTCCTTCCACTCTGCACGTCAGCTCACAACGACAGTTTGCCATCTCGGCCAGGCGGTGTTCAGCACCTCTTAGCTGTTGGACAGCACACACAAACACACAAACACAACAACAACAATAGCAACAGCTGCCATTCGCCACTAACTTAAGGTGATCTCACCCCAACACGTGTGCCAGGCTAGGTGCTCTTTGAGGCCTCGCATACAATGCATACGCACACAAACCATTGCATGCAATTATACACATATACCCGTGTGCAGAAACAAACGCGCGCTTGCACGCAACGACATGAAGACAAATATCCCCCGTATAGCCTGAACAGACTGTTGGGGCAAGTCCAATTAGTAAGCACCTATGAAGGCCGGCACGGCACAGGACGGGGGTAGCAAGGGACATTCCCAGCCACCTTTGTCTCCCCCAGTGCTCATGTTTGCACTTCACACCAGGTACTAATTTAAGGAGAAGCCAAAATATGAGTCACTATTACTGGTCTTGGGTGGGAATTGCACGCACGCAGACGCTCAAAGCACGGGCACATACATACACATACACACATATGTATAGACACACGAATTCACACACGTGACCTTGGTTACTTTGGCTAAACAGAGCCTGATACAAAACGCCAGTGACACGACAGTGATTTGAGTGAAAAAATCCAGCCATTATTGTATTTCTAGCCAGAGAATGTTGCGATATTCCACACGTTCAAACTTATAGCAGCCAAATGCTCCGAACGCACGTCGATTTTAAATGTGGAGGGAAAAACCGGAGGACCCGGAGAAAAACGCACGGGGGAGAGAGAGACATGGAACGTCCAAATATACAGTAGACGTCAAGGTCGGGATCGAACCCACGACCTCCTGCGTACAAGCCGAGGGATTAAACATCTCGCCACCGCGGCGCCACCATGCAGCCCAAGCCTGTAACACCTGTTATTCCCCAGACGTTTTCCATCAACGTTATAACCAAACTCACCGCTGCTTACCTATGAAGATGCGATGGGATTGGGTGCATTCGGAATAATTTGCTCTGGATTATCCGCACGTGTGGGGCGTTTTGTCAATCCACTGCCGGATAAGTGGAGGCGGGGAGCATGGACGCGATGGCAACACATGTACAGTCGAACAAGAGAAGTTGAATCCCAGCATTATTTTGACCACCACATAGCACGGTCCTATATCCGCATGGTGGTCACCCATCCGAGGTCCAGCCAGGCTCAAACCTGCTTAGCTTTTGAAATCTAGCAAGAATCGTGCACATTTCCAGGCGATTTCGTATTAGGGCCGGATAGAAATAAATGAATATCCAGAAACTCCATATCTTGGGGAAAGCTTTTTTTTTTTGGCATAACGCTTTGAAATGTTACTAACTTGCGAATGCCAGCGCGTAAAAAGGCAGAGATAATTTCGAGCAGTCTCGATTGGAATAGGACGGCTCGCAACATTGCCCGTCGCCTGTTGCATAACACGGGTCATTGGCACGAATCACCGCAGTGACGCCTTCCCGCTAACGTCACAGCGTCGTTCAAAAACGCCGCGAGTGAGACCATTACTCCCCGCAGGCTGCCGGCTGCGTCTACCCTGTGAGTAAGGTGGGGGGGGAGAGTTCCACGTACGGAGTGGAAGTGCAAAATTAAAACACCCCCCCCCCCTGTGGAGCAAAATGCGTTCAAATTTACTGATGTGGTTCAAAAATCATTGAAGCAATACGCGTCGCTATGTGTGTTGGGGTTGGAGGGGCGGAGAGGGGAGCGGCGGTGCAGTGGTTCACGCACAGCATGACGAACCTGACGACCCCGATTTAATTCCAGGCCGCGGCTTTCATCAGTGGTGGGTGATATCGTGTCGTGATTATTTGGCTGCTGCTATAACAATGTTGACGCGATGAGCAACTTGGTTGAGCTTTCATTTGTGGCCCGGTCGCTTTTGAAAAATAGCTGTATAGCTCAGTGGGACTCATGTGGTAAACTATTTTTTTTACAGTTAAATCGTTTTCAACGCTGTGGGATGCAGGCGATGTGATCATGCGGATGTGCGTGGCAATGCCACCAAGGAGTTCTCGCCCAAACCGTTCCCCAGCCAGCAAAACTTGTTTTTGTTTCGTTTGAAGAAAAAAAAACCTTGCACATTCCTTGATAGAAGAGGATGGAAAATGAATTCGAATTTACCATCCGATAACTTGATGCTGTACAAGGAGGTAAGCAAACACATGACACGTTTATACAATCACAATTTAGGCAATATAAAAACTCCTTCACATAAAATACATTTAACTGCAAGCATCTGCATAAAAAAATGATTATTTTCCAATGCATATGTGTTGCCTTATTCGATTCCTTAATGTGACCTCTGCAGACACTTGACTCAATATATTTGCCACAATGGAAAAATAATGAAGAATGATTCCTGACTCCGATGATGACCCCAGAATCGTAATAATGCTTCAAATCATGAAAGAAGGTGAAACGTTGGCTGCCTAATAACAGTAATATTTCTTTTGACACCGCCTTGTTTAATACGGGCAACAAAAAAAAATCGACTGTGGCTCTCATTGTTACGAGGATTAATGTGGAAAGCCCAATGTGTATTTGGAGCCACTTTACAACAGGCAAATGCATCGCTGGCATTTCTTTCACTTTTCAACACTCTCAGCAGATCATTGCGAGCAGATCGTTAGTCAGGTAGCATTTCCATATTTTTTTTTAGTTACTTGTATTTTTTTTTACTCTTTTCCTTCTCATATTTTTTGCTGACCGTAAAACATTACATCAATAAAGCTTTCTGCCATTAAAAGTGTGGTGCATATTTCACAACAAGATCAAAATTAACAGCTCCCATGCGGAGTGCCTGCCATCAACATCGGGGTTCAATTTTAACTGCTCAATGACCAGCGAAGTAATCCATCTCTCACTCTACTGAGAATCGGCATAAGATGCTGTGCATGTCTAAATATATTTACAGTGTGTGGGGGAGCGGTGGCACAATGGTTAGCGCACAGCACTACGAACACAGCGACCAAAGTTCGAGTAACATTCACGGCCAATAACAGTGCCGGATATTTGAATTCGTCCTGTGCCTCCCCTCGGATCGAACTCAGCCTCAAATGAGCACCTGGCATGGTGTGTAAAGATCAGCACCACCCACCCCGTCGCATGCCGTGCCGGTCTTAACAGCGATGCAACCAGTTCACGTGCAGGCACTAGGTGGATGTTGCTACATCGCAGGATCGTGAGAACGTGACAGCGGCTTGGCGAAGCTGTCATCCAGCAGTAGATTGATGATGATGATTATGATGGGGCATAGAAAGGGAGGGGGCGGGGGGGAAGTAGTAGGAAGTAGAAGGAAGGGGGTGTATGCAGTTTATAATCTGTATAATGAGAAGGTCAGTGTAATTTTTCGATTTAAAGCTTTCGTGATGGCAGGGATTCATCTTCTTGGTTCTTTCGGTAAAGTCACGTAGACGGGAAATAATAAAATAATAAAAATAAAACATAATAAATTATTATCATTGTGAGAATTCTTTTCTTATATTATTTTATTTTATTATGTAAAATTTGTATTATTTTATTATTTCCCTTCTACGTGACTTTACCGAAAGAACCAAGAAGAAGGTCAGTGTAGTTAAGGCGTTTGTTCCCCATCATCCTATTTTCCCGGGGGGTGTGGGGGGTGTGAGCAGCTCCCCGACAATGATGAGCCGCCACTGAGTGCAGGGCATCTCAGCAGACTGAGCAGACGCCTTCAGAGCTGAAGATCGTGAGTTGGCGTGCATGAAGGTTCTCCGAGGTTATGTGCATTTGAGTTGTGGTTTTTCACGTGGTGCGACCTGTAATACACAAGGTGTCGCAGATCTGCGCACGTGTGTGCGCAATTTTCAATCACAAAAAAAAAAATTCGGAATGCTTTAGCGGTAATATATATATGCACAAATGAACAAAAAATATAATTCCACACCGGATTGATTAACTTACAGCTGTAGAAAGCATTTCGCTGTACGTTTTCTCACCACTCCCTTCGAAGAAGAGTGCATGCATTATACTAACTTACCAGCGTTTTCAAGGCACCGTATTATGGAGTGCATTCTATAACCATCAGTCAACCTGGCTCACATCGCTCTGCTGTGGAGAAGGGACATTCTTCCGTTGCGGGGCACAGTGAATGATGATAGCGGTGAGTTATTTCAATGAACGCTGCGTGCAGCTGCACAAAACATTTTTTTTGCAAACGCCTTAAAAATATGCACATCCATTGTTCTCCTCCTGCGCAAGTTACATTTTAAGATAAAGGTGCAGCCCTGCAATTCCTTGCTCATGTCACTGCTGACGGATGGGCTTTGAGGGTGTTTAGATTGCTCTTCCACAGTGGCCAAGCAGCTTGGAAGGGGTCAGAGTACCCACACTTTACCCCACCGTGCCCGACCTACCGATGACTAACTGTGCTCGCACACATTTTACGATTGAGTTTGACAGAGTCGGGGAGGAAATTTAATAAACCTGCACCATTGCTTCAACTGCCGACTTCTTTCATCCTCAACGGACTTTCATCCTCATTATGACTCATCACTCGAGTCCACCATCCCAACGGGAAGCGGTGAGACAAAGACACCACTGTGGATCAGTTTCGTCTGCATTAGGACCCATCCATCCCATCCCCAGCACCGTTAGCGACGCTGTCGCCTCGACAGACCTGGTTTTCACCTAAGGACGGCTGCTTGCGTTGTGGCCGAAACGTCGTGAGACTTATTTTATTATGTTTTATTTTTATTATTGTATTACTTCCCTTCTACGTGACTTTCCCGAAAGGACCAAGAAGATGAATCCCTGCAGTCACGAAAGCTTTAAATCGAAAAAGTTCAACATACATATGTTCTGGATCGCAAGTTCAATGTTGCTACCCATCACAGCACGGCAGCATCCGACAATGCTCTACCACGGCTCAGATAGGTGCCATACCTGATCCGTCATCTTGGCCAGCAACTCCTGGAGGTCCATGATGTTCTGCACCAGAGTGTGGAAGTCGCTGCAGGATGGACACGCTAACGTGCGCAGCAGAGGAGAAAGGGCAAGTTACTGTGGCTGTGTAGATATCACTGAGATGACACTTACAATGCGACCGCCTGTGTGTAGCCATATGTATATATCTATGTTGAGATCGTATGCACGATATGTAGTCAACCGTGTTAATCGGCGATGAGGGGGAAGGACAACAAATTAAACGCTAAAAGCAGTTCTAAAGAAATGAGTTTTCAATCTAGATAATAAAGCGCATAGCTCAAGTGGCTTCCTAAGTGGAAGAGCGTTCCAGACGGACGCAGAAGCGCGTCTGAAAGCGCTCGATGCGGTGACCATCTTTGTTCAATGGCGAACCAAAAGCCACTGTGAGGACGAGCGGAGTTTGTATGATGGTTTACTTTCCTTGACGAGATCACCAAGGTTTTATTAACAGCATAGAGGAGACTGTTATTGTGGACCGGAATCAGAAGAAAAACTGATGATGTAGACAAACGTCATCGGAATGGGAAGGGTTGCATTTCCTTTTGTGCATCAAGTATCCGCACCAGACGTCTGACAACTTACGACTCAGCACTTATCACAATCAGCACTTTAGTTAGTCACAAAGACGAGGGTAAGGACTTACTGTGATTGAGATCCGGACATTGTGAGACGTATCCGTTGGGCGTGATGATGATCCTAACGTCTTGCAATATGCCCTGCACAATAAAAACACAAAGAATGTTCATGCAAAGTTTAACTTTATTCCAAGATATATTAACTGTATTTAATGAGTCTTACTCTCGCACAAGAGTGATTTGTCACGTTTGCCATCAGCTGCATTAAACTGTATGTGTTTCATATTCTTCTTACTTGGAACAATAACAGACTCAAGAAAGGAATTGTCTGGTAAGCGTTCTCAATTAACTCCTACGAGTCGATGTTCTCTATCTCGCTGCAATAAGTAAAATTCTAATTGACAAGAAACGAACCAATTAGTCGTTCTTTTGGCAAACGTATTTCTTTCACTCCATAGCGCGTCTTTGTATCATCACGATCGAGCGATGATTAATCCATTCCCAAACTAAGGCCTCTTCAAGCCAACACAGTCACTCGCGATCCTGCACTGATCCACCTCGCATCCGCACACAACTTGATTACTCATACTCTTAGGTTTTTTCGGTAAAGTAACGTAGGTAAAAAATTATAATATATAATAATGATAAATGAAAATAAATCAATAAAATCACGACGTTTCGGAGGCAACACAAGTCTCCGTCTTCAGGTGGGACCGTCACAGCTGAAATCCTTGCAGTCACGAAAGCTTGAAATCTACACTTGATACAGTAAATTTAGCTGTGACGGTCCCACCTGAAGACGGAGGCTTGTGTTGCCTCCGAAACGTCGTGATTTAATAGATTTTTTTTCTTCTATTATTCTTTTATTTTATTATTTTTTACCTACGTGACTTTACTGAAAAAACCTAAGAGTATGAATCCTTGCAGTCACGAAAGCTTCAAATCTAGAATCACAACTTGATTTATTTAATCTCTGTGTATATTGTGCGAATTTGTCCTGCAGCGAAGAAAACAATAAGATAATCAAGGGAGTTTCTGCCGTCTTTTCTTTGTTTTACAAACGCAATGCTGGAAATCTATAGAAACAACTCTCAGGCATCGAGAAGGGCGGGAGGGGGAGCGCTATGTACACAATCAAAATCCATGAGGTTCACTCCGTGTCATCTGCGGTTCTTAAATCTAATGCGGCGGAAAGTCTTTTGAAATATCTTACGTGCAAGAGAACGCTCGCATCAGACAGCTTTTTCTCATTCCTTCTGCTCACAGTGATGTTGTTCTCAAATTTACAAACACTCTCCTAAGTGCCGCCGCCGATAGATCTCACCGCAATATAAACAAACAAAAAATCAGTTTAACACTTAATTAAAATGTTGTAGCAGACAAAGGCGGCGAAGCGCACGCGCCTTAAAAATTCACAAGCACGCAGAAAATACAACAGTGGTACCACACCCCCCACCCCCCCACCCGCATCTTGAGATGTGGTTACATTTGGACGCCACATGCATCCAAAGCGTACTCTATTGCACTGTGCAGCCAAACGCAGCTGCTGTTGGTGAGCACCCATTGAGGCTGGGAAGACATATGACAGGGTGGTGACGTGGTCAGCAACACACTATCAGCAGATACTCATTGACACTTTGCACCAGGTAACGAACAGAGGCCCACGACGGTTCATATACCATTTGCCAACCGATGTTAGCTGTGGCTGAGAATTTAAAATAGACCACAGGGTTCACAGCACAATGCACAAACCCTTCCAAACCTGCACAGGCTGTTGGGGCAATTGCTGTTAGTTTGCACCTATGCAGGCCGGCACGGCAAAGCGTATTAGGGGGTGTAACAGCCAGCACCATCCCTAACTTGTCACCCGAGTATTGATATTCGCATGCCGCATCAGAAATGAATTTAAGGCCGAGTTGATCTAGGACCGGCGCATATATAATGATCACCGATGTTAACTGCGGCCGGGAATCCAACTCGGCCGGGCGGTGTTCGTAGCGTGGTGCGCTAACCATGACGCCACCGCTAGCCCATAACACACGCACGCCAAACACAGCAAACAATTTTATAATGCACTCAGATCCGCCAAAGTCCGCGCTTTTAAAGCACCGACTGTGATCTAGCACCAGCCGGAGATTAAAACAGCGCGGCCAGGCACGATCCTTCTCTGCCTCGCGGGGAGGTTTATCAGAGCGAGCCGGTCGCTTTCGCCTTTGACAATGATCAATGTACCTCCGGGTCTCCGGTTTGTTAGCAGCCCTGGAAGACGTCTCTAGTGCAGATTGACCCCCGCACCCAAAAACGGCACACTGCTTCCTAGCGGAGAATGCCCTTTTCGTTCTCTATTACTCCCTTATTAATTCATTGCTTGGGAAATAACAAGTTACCCCGCCACTAATTGAGAATTTTTTAAAGGTACGGTTTGTTCCGACGGAGCTAAAATTATGATCCTCCGGTAATGGAATGAAGCGACACTTGAAATAAATTAATTAGAATGTAAATTACTTGCACGCTTCGAATTTCACACCTAAATTAGACACTTTACAATGCATGCCGACGGTAATTAGCCCACATTGATGTATCTAAACAGCCATCAACCATTAATAGATTTGTACACTGAGTCATCACGCACCTCGCTTGAGATGGGGGCGGGGTGGAGGGGGGTGTTGCATTTTTCAGCGCCAATGCTCCTCTAAACCCCGTCCTACTATCTTATTTGCGAAAATAGGTAAAAAAAAATAAGAGCGTCTCTGCATCGCTAATAGATTGCGTTGTTTTTTTGTAGAAACACCAACGCGATCGCGAACAAAATATAAGATTGGTTGAGAAGGTGGATGTCGGAGTGTGCACGAGCGCGCGTGCGTGTGTGTTTTCTCAGCTGTGACACAGTTTATGTCGGTCAGAGCGGTTTCAAATGGCTGCAGATATGCACACCATGATATGAAGGCACTTCCAGCCATGTAGAACGAGCCATTTCAGTACGAAATAAAAAAACGCGAATCTGTCGGGAATAATGAATTAACCGCACGAGTCCAAAACCGAGTCACACGATTGCGCTGGGGCCCTTTAAGTCACGGCGCATTCCGCTACGGTGTGGGCAATGCAATTTGCATGTGAATACAAGAGATATTATTCACCACGCGTTCGGCGTTAAATTACACGAAGAATTATTATCTTGCAGAGACCCTCGCGAGAAGGCACGTTGCAGGTACGGGGCCCACATCGTCTCCCGCGGACGGAAGCAGAATGTAGCCAGGGCGATTTCGCGTTTTGTTCTGCCTCTCTGGAGGGCACTATCTTACAATTCACACAATGGGATCATCATCCGAGTTAATTTATTAATATAATGATTGATTGTTTTACAACCCCTTTATCAATCCGTTACTGAATTAAAGTCTCCATTTTCTGTGTCAATTTATAACTGGAAACTATTTTTTAATTGTTTTACCAGGTAAGGCCCACTGAGCTACATCGCTCTTTTTCAGAAGCGACCTGGCCACAAATGATAGCTTAGCGAAGTAGCTTATCACGTGGAGATTAATAACAGCCACATACTCTAAACGCACCTTGATTGTAAATTGACAGGGAAAAAACGGAGGAGCCGGAGAAACAGGGAGAACGTGCAAACTCCAAATATACAGGCGTCAGGGTTGGGCTCTTACGCTGGCCAGACATATTGATAGAGGTCAGAGGGCCCACACTTTAACGCCACCACACGCGACCTACCGATCGACTCATTGTGGTGCACGCGTTTACACCACTGAGTGGACGGAGGTAGGGGGCAGGGGAGGTGATTTAAGAAACTTGGCACCGTTGTTTAATCTGTCACGCCGGGAGATCGAATTTAACCGGCGAACTCTGAGTTCCAAGGCCCAGTGTTCTAGCCGTGAACCCACAAAAACTTACTCACACCAACTGTGCTTTTATTTTCTTCTTGGTCGACGATGAAGCTGGATGAAATCTTCACCCGGTTTCCGGAGGTCAATTGAACCGAGCGGTGAATAATCTTCTCTCGGCAACGAAAGATAAACCGTTGGGTAGGCCCGAGGAGGCCTCTTTCACCCTTGGGAGTCCTTTCATCCTTCCAATATTAATCTATTACAGTATATGCACTGACATTAGGCGGTTAAGAATGTCTACCAACCCCTGTGTAGAGAGATCAAGGCTCGGGTCAAGGGGAGTCACTAACAAAGTGGCATCAGAAATTGCCGGGGAAAGGTGGGGGGAAGGAAGAGAAAACATTGCCTCGCGCCAGAGATGGGGCATGAAGATGCCAACGGCTGGCTTTTGTCTCGCGGAGAAAGAGGTCGTCTATAAATGTCCAGCTTTTAACATCACTGAGAACATTTCAAAGTGGTGTTTGTGTTTACTTTTTGTTTCTACCCTCCCTTAAACCTTTTGATATTCATCTCTTCTTATTTTTTGGGGACATGTTGTTGTGCCGCGTTATTTTGTGGGCATCACAGGGAGTGTAACTTAATGAGAGGTTGACTTAGTGCTCGCCCATGAAGAGGTAAAGGTGCATCGCCGCAAACGCCTGCTCGCGACACTGCTGGCGGAAGGCCCACCGCTTAAAGGGAGCTCGAGAGAAGCCCCCTCGAGCAGGTTATTTTGGCCTACTCTTCCACGCTGGCCATACATCTCGGAAGAGGTGGGAGTATGCACACTTTACCCCACTGCACGCGGCCTCGCAAACATCGTTCCAGAAGACCCAACGGACTAATAGAGTATAACGTTATTTTATTTTAGTTTCACGTCGTCAAATACACCCTTGTCAGTTTATTAGCCAAAGTGTAACCAGGCCAAGACGAGGCAAATGGAACTGCACGTCACAAAATAAATAGTGCTTGAGGGGTAGTATCATTGAGCCAAATTAGAGTTCTTACTCTTGGTTCTTTCGGTAAAGTCACGTAGAAGGGAAATAATAAAATAATATAAATATAAAACAATAAAAATTCTCACGACGTTTCGACTGCAACACAAGCAATCATCATCAGGTGTGAAATAGACCGGTTGTGCAACACAAGCAATCGTCATCAGGTGTGAAATCCACAGGCTGTGGATTTTACACCTAATGATGATTGCTTGTGTTGCAGTCGAAACGTCGTGAGAATTTTTATTGTTTTATATTTATTTTATTTTATTATTTCCCTTCTACGTGACTTTACCGAATTAACCAAGAATATGAATCCCTGCAGTCACGAAAGGTTTAAATCAAAATTCAAATTAGAGTTCTTACTCTTTTGTATAAGTAGGTGGGCAACGTGCACTTGTAAATTTGTCACGCTTGTGTCGATCTGCTCGTACCTTGTAGAGGGCGTGCTTGGAATGACGCTGGCCCAGCCACAAGCCCGTCGATTCGGGCAGGTTCATGTCTGGCGGACCAACCACTCGCTCGTAAATCCTGAGCGCAGGGGGCAAAGATGAATTAATTAGGAGGCAAAGGTACGTACGGCCTGCGATTGCTTACTCACATCACTGCTGGAGGAAGGGCCTCAATCAAAGGGAGCTCAAGCGAGCCCCTTTAGAGCCCCTTTAGAGCAGTAGTTCTTAATCTGGGGTGCACACAGATCCTGGGGGTGCGAGATGCCCTTTCTGGGGGTGCGAGACGTGGCCAGATTCTTTTAGAAGCTAAGTCATCGAAAGTGCAAATTAATCATGGGCACGTCAGTACAACTACTTTGTTTCATCAAACCAATGCATTTATTCACATCATACATTTTTTTTTACGATTCATAATTACCAAAGGGGTGCAGGGCTGCAGTAAAACGTCAAGAACCACTGCTTTCGAGAGTACTTGGCCTCGCCTTCCATGCTGGCCAAACATCTTGGAGAAGGTGGGTGTACTCACACCTTCCCCCCCATCGCACGCGACCTGCCTATCAACTAATTGGCTGGATTGCACCCATTTATCAAATTCATATTGCCGAGTGAAAAGAGGCAGTGGGGGGAGGGAAGTGAGTGAAGGGAGATGAGGGAGGGGGGGGGGTGTTGAAAAAACTTGCCTAGAATTTAAATTGCCGCGCCGGGAGATCATATTGAACCGATGCCCTCTGGATTGCAAGTTCAGTGTGCTGACCATCACGCCAAGTCGGCATCCCTCATTGGGAGGACAAGTAATCCCACAATTAAAGAGTCTAGTTTAAGTGTCAAGTTTGTTTTGTTTAAAGAGGTGAGGACTCCGGAGATCAAGGGATAGCCTAATTTTGAACCCTGACCTTGGGTCATCAAAATGACAAAATCAAAATAAATCAAATAAACGACAACAATAGAAATATGATTCAGAACAACAACAAAAACGCCATCACACGTGGTAAAAGAACAACAAAATATTGCACTGACTGCAAAAACTACGAGTGCATCTCCAAGCAGGGAATACGTCAATTAAAAACTGTGGATCAAGTACTTGTAACGAAAATAAATTAAATATATATTACACAAACAAACAAACAAACCTGGCAACAATGAACAATTCAAACTCACGGAATAAAACAATCTATCTTAATAAATGGCGTCAATGCCAATGGTTCAATTCAAGATATGTAAATAACTGCCATCACGGTGCCAAAATGGTAACGCCGTCTGAATAGTACTCTTTGTTAAGCGTGTGTCATAATTAATCTGTCTAAAGCCAATCACACATCATAAACAAAAGGTCTGGGCTAAATAGGTGCGACTAAAATTAATTCAGGGGAAACAAAATAATCAAGGGCCGAATTCACATCTCAAGGATATTTTACCTTGCCTTTGACAACGGACAAAACTGAATAATCAACAACGCATGCGTCTGGGTTATACAGACAATAAGTCTCGTCAGGTTAGAATATAAAAGTATTTCTTACACGATCCATCAGCCAAACAGCATTCTGGCAGTGCATAGCTTCAGTGGCAATGATTTGGTACACTCAAATTTTGGATCAGAGTCAGACTTGCTTGAATCAATGCTGGCGAGCTGCCATAGGCAAGGATCATCTCTTTAAGCTCTGGGTCCTAGTTTGACGCACACATATATCATACATAGCACAAAAGAATCATTAGCGCTGTCGTGGAGAATATATATATAACAAACAATAGATAAGCAGACGATATGTCTCCGTCTTTCATCTGTCTCTCCACGTGAACATGAAAGTATTTCTTTACCATCATGTTACAATCTCGCAATGCAATATTGTAACATGATGGAAAATGCTATCGGATAGTTGTTCATTACGCGCATACATTTAAAACGTTTTGTTGGTTTTAACTTCACGAGGCGTATATCACATTTGCAAAAATACTAGAACCGAAATAACCACGGATAATTAACGACGAGGTATCCAGCATCGCACGTGGGGAGCTGGTGAGACTGGATGGATATAAACCAGCAGCACTGCAATTACTCGCTCACGTCACTGCTGGGGGAAAAGATCTCTGCGAGACATTCCTTGGCCTACTCTTCCACGTTGGCCAGACGTCTTGGCAGAGGTGGAAGTACCCCGAGGTGACCTCAGCACACTGAACCTGTCGACAGCTAAAACTGTGGTGAGCTCATTAATACTGCCAGGGAGATGGTGGCCGCGTGGTTTCAAGAAACCTGCCACATTTCTTCGACTGCCACACTCGGAGGACGAATCGAACCGGTGACCTCTGGATTGCGAGTCCCGGTGCGTTAACGATGACACCACGGGCAGCGCAGGTATCCAAGGGTGCCAAGAGGAACCCCAAAATCTATAACATCACCAGCAGACACCCCTCCCCCGCACCCATCGAACTTAACCCGACCCTGTCAATTTAACACGCTGAGTCTTCGCATGGTGTCGTTTCCTGCGTCGGGCTGGGTGTTCAGCATTTCTCTATCGAGCGTTTTCGCCCCACGCACTTCTTCTGCGTGCACCTCATTGTGCGTGTGTGTGGGAGGGGGTAGGAGGTGGCAGCCCAAGCGGGCGGTGGGTGCGCGTGGACGACACGGACGTGCCTGTTGCAGTCAACGTGAAGCAGGATGCGGGAGGGCCCGATGGTGAGGGCCATGCGGTGCCACTGGCCATCGGCCAGGCGGTACGGGAAGGCCTCCGTGGTGGCGCGGGCGCCTCCGTCCCCACCCACGCGGTAGTGCACGCGGATCTCATCGCGCTGCCCGCTGCTCTCCAGCTCCAGGTATCTGCACGTGGGAGGGAGGTTGAGAGCGTTCGAGATTCAGTGAATAACGGGCAGCAGATTCGTGTCTGACATCAGCAGCAAATTTTTCGATTTAAAGCTTTCGTGACTGCAGGGATTCATCTCATTGGTTCTTTCGGTAAATCACGTAGAAGGGAGATAGTAAAATAATAAAAATAAAGCATAATAAAATTATACAATTCTCACGACGTTTCGGCCACAACGCAAGCAGCCGTCCTCAGGTGAAGAACAGGTCTGTCGGAAAGACAGCGTCTGAATAACCTGTTCTTCACCTGAGGACGGCTGCTTGCGTTGTGGCCGAAACGTCGTGAGAATTGTATTATTTTATTATGTTTTATTTTTATTATTTTATTATCTCCCTTCTACGTGACTTTACCGAAAGAACCAAGAAGATCAGCAGCCATGTTCAAAAGCCGAGTTCAAAAGTGACACCCGAAGAGCAATTGACACCATGCCATGCCGTCCCGCTCGACTGCCCAACAAGTTGCCCCAAGACGCCAGCCGATCTGCTCCAGGAGATTTTGCATGCCCCCTGGCCTGAGGCAAGGACGCCGCTACACACTGCATGCCACAGGCTCGTTTACGAATCACACACTCGCTAAACAAATTTACGTTTATATTTCCCTCAAATTCCCAAAAGTATAAAAAAAACTCACCTCATAAAGCTCAACAAAAGTATTCCTGATGGTTAAGCAAATAACATGTTACATTTTGCGGTGTTAATAACAGTTATATTTGCAAACGTCGTATGAACGTAATATTTTTTTTTCTCAAGAACGAAATAAAAATATCACGTCTAAAAAAAAAACACAGCGAGCTCGATATAATGTTTATATTGTCCGACAATTAAATAGTATCTTGCTCATTGTGATCAAGAAATGTACAGTAAATTCAATACGTTGATTAAAATAATTTGCTCTTTTTATAGATTATTCGTCCGAAGACCCTGGAGAGGATGATAACGAGTACAACTGCACAGCTGCCTGACCATTAGTGTTTGAACGATGCATTGAGTCATTGATAATTGATTCTTAAGTTCATGATGTAAGCATCAAGTCATGTGTGTAAGAATCAATATGTATAAGTTACATGCAATGGGTTTCACGTCACTCCACCCTCCCTTGGTCATTATATGCCGCTATATTCACCATAATGGATTCATAATTGATTTTTGCGTCAGATTGCGCTCGTGATATGCGTGTCATAAACCCTCCTCCACCTGACAGAACCAATTGATAGAGTTGTCATGTGATGAACAAACATGGCAAATTTATTTCGGCCCAGGACCTGAGGCCATTTTCACAATTATTTTTCGCAAGCGCCTGATGATGCTGATTGTCACGGCCAGCGAAACGTCCGGACCCAATTGTTCAATCTGTGTGGATTCCTCTCCAACAGCACACCGGTGGTGCCACCGAAGCGGTAACGGTTATTAACGCTAATATTCGCCGCGGAAGCCCTGCCCGTTAAGTAAGTAACATTAACAGCAAGTCACCGAATCGTGGGGGTGGCAGCCCCATAATTCCGACCGCGGCAAACATAATTCCTGACGTGCGTTAAATATTCAATTTGGTTTCGTATTTGGAGGGATGGTGCGTAAAAACTTTCTCGACTTCAAAAGAACGCGTCCATCCTCCAGCGCAAGCAGCAGCAAGCAGCAGCAGCAGCGCTCGTTACGGAGCCGCCTGATTAATTGCGGTGGGACCCACGGCAGAGCCACGCCGAGACTGCAGAGCGGCACACGCGATGCACGGGGCATTGATCGTGCAGCCCCCCATGTGTACAGGAGGAGGAGGAGGGCTGGACTCGATCTCACAGGCCGATTGTGGTTCACTCGCGCTGCCGCAAGGAGATCGACTTCACGCAAGGATGCGATGTACATTTGCACAGGAACGAAGATTATTATGATGAGTGTCCTCCAGATTTTGCAATTGTATCGTGAATTGTTCTTGTATTGTGTTTGTGCTTTGCTGCATTTCAGGTATCTTATCTTGCATTTATATAGCGCCTTAACCGAGGCGCTGTACAGTGGACTATGGTACAAGATGGTTGGCGAGATGAGGCCAGATGAGTGGAGGGGATATTTGTAAAATGAGGCGGCGGTGGTGGTGACAATGCGTGTAATAAAAGAAGATGGAAATGAGACGAGTGGATTGATGATGGGTGACCGTGGTGAGTTGAGGACAGGGAAGGCGTTAGCACGAGTGGGGAGGACAACAAGGTGAGACGGAAGGATGGGCAAGAGAGAATATAATACGTGGGCTTTAAGAGAGGAGCGAACAGGGTGATTGTTTGTCAAGCAAGGGCAGTTTATTCCAGCGACGAGGGGCTAGGAGAGAGAATGAGCAAAACCGAGACCGTGCGCACAGAGGAGAATGAACGGAAAGAACCAGCAAAGATTTAGAATGCAGACAACGGGCAGTGATGTGAAGTGGGACGATGAGAAGAGAGATACGGAGGAGCCAGGCCAAGGAGAGATTTATAAACTAAAGGTAAGACGTTTAAAGAGGCAACGACAATAAACGGGGAGCCAGTACAGCTGAACGAGGAGGGGGGGGGGCGATGTGTGAGAATGGAAGGGAAGATTAAAGATGATACGGGCAGCAGGCGTTTTGAATTTGTTGGGAGTGGTTTGAACGCGTAGGATGGTAGACCGATCGAGGGAGAATTGCAAGAGTCTAGTCGAGTGAAGATGAGGGAGTGAATGAGGAGTGTGCTGGCAGTGATTGTGATGAAACGGTTGATTGTGCGAATGTTGTGAAGGTGAAAACGGCAGGAATGGGTAGTGGCAGTTATGTAGTCAAATAAGGAAAGTGATGAGTCGCAGATTACACCAATCTTGCAGACAGGCTACCGGAGGTAGAGATAATGGGGGAAATGAGATAGTGGGACAGGGAGAAGGAGAATGTGAAACTGGGAAGAAGAGGATTTGTGTTTTCGAGGGTTGATGGAGAGCAAGTGTTAGGTCATCCAAGACTGGGTGGCGATCGCACAAGAGAAGATGTGCAGGGCAAAGATCAGCAGTGAAGGAGGAGAAAGATCGAACAATGTGGGTGTCGTCAGCAAAGAAATGATGCGGGAGATTGAACGACGAGTGGAGGGATTCAAGTGGAGATATATAAAGAGAGAACATAAGGGGGCCGAGAACAGAACCTTGGGGGACATGGACATTGACGGGTGGGGGGGGGGGGTGCAGCCTGGGCATCTTCCGCGCTCTGGTCGGAGCCAGGGTGTGTGGGCTGGAGTTCCGCCATGCGCGGCTGACCCACGCCGTGCCGGCCTTCAATGAGCAGTGGGCGATGGAGGAGGCCGTGTGCTCGGTGGCAGATGACGGGGAGCTCTGCATGCTGATATGAGCTACCCGTCGGAGGCCGTCGGACTGCGAGAAGGGCGGCGTGCAGAACGAGAGAGAGCGAGAGAGAGAGCGAGTGAGCGAGAGAGAGAGAGCGAGAGAGTGACCGAGAGAGTGAGCGAGAGAGTGAGCGAGAGGTGGGGGTTTACAGAAAGCAAAGTTTAAATAAAATAAAAATAAAAAATTACGAAATGATGAACGAAGCAAAGTGCCGACTACACCGAGCATCTTCTTGTTTCCACTGATCGTAAAAAAAAAGAGAGGTAACGTGATTGAGTGAGACAGCTGAAGTGCGCGAGGAAAGTAAGGACTGGACCCAAGAAAGAGCGGTGCCCGAGATGCTAAGAGAAGAAAGGGTATAAATGAGAGTGGGGTGATCAGTTGTGTCAAAGGCTACAGTGAGGTCAAGCAAAATAAGAAGCATGGATAGCAACTGCGTAAAAGTTATTCAAACAGCTGTTCGCCCAACGTAAACCTGAGTCTCCTAATGATTGCATCGTTACATTATACAATGCTTACAACACACGTGCCATCAGTCGAACTAAATAATATTAAGTGAACGAAGACAATGATATCGTAGAATTGCCATGCTGTCTATTGCTCCATGACACATTTACAAGCTACTAATTTCAATGGGTAACAGGTATTTATTTTGAACTGTAATTATTATAATCTGTACTTTCATCAACATTTTGTCAGGATATAAAGTACCCTTAATAATAGGCAGGAAACGATAATTACGACGCAGCAATATTGTTAAACGATTCATCGTAATATCGCGATAGCACGGCGCGTCCGAGTGTGGGTGCTGTTGTGAAAGTGGGTTTTCATTTGTTGAGAAAGGGCAATCATTACGATCGATGGGCAAAGGCGAAAGCTGTGACATTAATGAGAATACTTGGCGCTGCCTACTGAGTGCCGCCGTCTTTTTTTTTTCTCCCTCCGTGCCCCTCGAGGAAGCAACAAACAAAATCAGTGGCACCTACGTTGCCATCGTACAGCGTCGTGCCCGCTGAGCCAGAGAGAGAGAGGAACACTCTGAGGTGGGTGGAGGTGGTAGTGGTGGTGAGAGATAAAATAAACTAGAAACTAATTTTATTTTACCAGGTGTAAGACCCAGTGTGAGCTATTAGCTTTTTTTTCAAAAGCGACCTGGCCACAGATGATGGCCCAACAAAGTGCCTGATGTGGAGATTTATATCAGACAAATACTCGAAAGGCATGCCGACTCTAAATGTGGAGGGGAAAACTCAAAGGACCCAGAGATCCACGCGACTATGGGGAGAGAGACATGCAAGGTCCAAATATAAAGCAGGCATCAAGGTCGGGATCGGGATCGAACCCACGACCTCCTGTATACCAGGCGAGGAAGTTAACTTCTCGCCACGGTGGCGCCCTGATGCGTTGGCTTGGAGGATGGGAGTGATTATTGATTGCCCTGTAGAACATTTGACTCCATAAACAGCAGGTTAGCTGCTGCTTATTAATCACGATTGTCATCATCATCAGCCACGATCAATCCACTGCTGGATGAAGGCCTCTCCAAGCTGCCACAAGCTCTTCATGGCCCTGCAATGTAACAATCTAACGAGTGACAACACTTCACACTGCAAGGCAAAGTATTCCGAAACCGAACGATTGTCCAAAAAAAACGTCGTGACATTTTTTTATCGCACGCATATTTTCTCACCTTTTCTCCGCTTCGCGGATTGACAGCAACACTCCAGAAGTGAGTGGCTTTTGCTTGACGGTTGCTAACACGGTGAACTCCGTCCTGTTTTGCAGGAGGTGAACAACTTTCCTCCGTAAGCGTTCCGGCGCTTTCAGATTCCTGGCCGAGTCTGAGATGGGGGGAAAAAAATGAAAAAAACGAGAATTACGGGAAGAAAATTCGTGACCGAAACTGGGTTCGCGCGGCCAAAACGGAGTGCAAATGGTCACGGTTATTCTTGAATCCGCCTAGAATGTCACCGCCTCCGCTTGCGTGAATGGTACCAGTTCTGTGCGTCAGTACAATCCACGTGTGCGAGAAACAACAGTCAACATCGATACCGCCGTCAGCGGCGAGTGCTATCCGAGCCGGTCTTGGGACCACCGTTCGCCAACCCACGATGACCACCAGCACGGCGAAGTACGGTCACAAAACCCCCACGGCCGACACCGGCTTTTGGAGGCTCTTATCCAGCAGTGGATTGAGAAAGGACCCGCCAGCTGAACTGTATACACTTCACATTTTTGTGATATGTATAATAAAACCGCAGTTCTATGTTTCAAGGTTAACTTGAAGCCAACACTCTTCTCCAATGCAGTGGAACCTCATCTGCACCCCTTCGAGGACACTGAATGCAACAAGCGTCGATCAGCTTTTTTTTGTATCGCAGTTTTTTGTGCTCATGTCAAGAGGAGACATTACATCTGAAAACCGTTCCCCCTGTCACGATGCTTCTCGCACGTGGACAAGCAATTGCGTGTCTCACATTTAAAGACTATTCCTTGTCATTTCCGCTTTCAGTGGGAGATTGCACGTGCTACTTGGCCACGATGAATGTGAGTTCTTGTGAACTACACCCCTTTACCATGGCGGAGATGTCTTATTGGAATTGTAACATTTCCTATGGCCACAAATTGTCCATGAGCTAAACGATCATGTCGAGCTACTGCTAGCTACGGGAGGGCTTTGGCAGATAGAGTTCCTTTCCGACAGACCTGTTCTTCACCTGAGGACGGCTGCTTGCGTTGTGGCCGAAACGTCGTGAGAATCGTATTTTATTCAGTTTTATTTTTATTATTTTATTATTTCCCTTCTACGTGACTTTGCCGAAAGAACCAATAATAAGAAGAAAAAGAGTTCGTTTAGTTTTACTGATCCTCCTCCGTTGCAGGAGCACAGAATGCAGTGGTTTACGATATGGTCCGTAGTTTGGGTTGCATGGCCACATTCACACTGCTGTGGCTTCGTCTTTAATTATCCTTTTCCGAAGGAGATGTGTGTAATGGGTTGTAGCGGAATTATATCCGATGCAATTACGTTTAAATGTATTTTTCTTTTGTTACACGGATGCCTGTTCAGAATCAGTTGCCCGGCTATTTTACAAAAGGGAGGTAACCGTGGTGCATGAGCACAGCAGCAACAAACTAAAAAGACACAAATATCGGTATTGCAGAGCGTGTGGTCCTTACGAGACATTTTGCACAACACACAAGAAAAAAAAAGAAACCAGTGCAAATATAATTTGAGAACGAGGCGTGCCAGAAAAAGTTCGGTACAGGTGCAAGTGACCAGCATATTTGAGTCCATCAGTAACAATAAACACACGCAAACCGAGAAAGACGGCGCCTATCACGTGGAAGCAAAACAAGAGTTAGGTGCATGTGCAATGAAAGCGCTGTTGCGTTTTGGTCTACTTGGGAAATAAAGAGGGGCAGTGAAAGGGGGGGGGGGGGAGCTGTAGCTAAGCGTCAATGGGATTCCAGCAGCCAGGAGAGAGAAGCAGGACGATGATCGCAACACATTTTGAAAAAAATGGACAAATGCATAAACGTATTAAAGATGAAAAGCACGCGACAATCGGGTGGAAACCAAAGGAGAAAGAAGGGAACGTCGCATCCGAAAATGTATTTTTTATCTTCGTGTAAAGCTCGGTGCCGTCGCGGACAAAGCAAACATTGTCGTCATTAATCGGGGGTGAGGTGTGGGGAGGGGAATGTAAATGGTACCCAGAATCGGTCCCTTGGTGAGAACGTTTGTATATTATTTAGCAAAAGTGGGGGACATGGCCGTCTCGTTCGTGGCTACAGGGGTCATGTAAACCCATCACATACACCACATTTATAAAAAGGCAAAGGTGCAGCCCTGCAAGTGCTGGCAGAAGGACTTCAACTAGAGGAGGCTATAGAAGGCCCATCTAGTGGGTATGAGGCTTACCCTTCTATGCCGGCGAATTATTTTGGAAGACAAGTACTCAATCTGCCAATTCACTACTCCTGGGTGTGGCCATTGTTTGTATATCTGGTACTGGGTTATCGAACGGATGAACCCTGGATTGTCAATCCAGTGTTGTAACCTTTAAACCAAGGCAGCATTCACTACATACACGAATTGGAAACTATTTAAACTAAAATGTTTTAAAATTTTACCAGGTAAGGCCCACTGATAGCTTCTCAACGAAGGGGCTTTTCACGTGGACATTTATAGCAGCCAAACACTCTAAATGCCATGGAAAGACCGCTATCCAAATCCTAAATGAAATAGAATGTTTCTAAATGTGGAGGGAAAACCCGAAAGAACTGGATAAAAAATCCACGTGACCACAGAGAGAACATGTGAACTCCAAATATACAGCAGCAGGCATCAGGCTCCGGATCCAACCCACGACCTCCTCCATACCAGGCGAATCGGATAACATCTCACCACCACAGTGCCCTGCACTGTAGTACATGCGATTCTAAAAATGTATTGTGAGCTTAAGAATCGATATTAATCGATGTTAATCGTACATTATTCCGCCCCTAATGAAGAAGCGCTGCAAGCGAGTTGCTTTGCCCGTGACTGGCTCTCGCCATCGCCGCTGAAGATTTCCTCTGCCACACCCCACGTGTGCCACCTTGTTTACGGCTTTTCATTTTAAAGGAGAGCGAACGTGAGCCTGCTCCTAAAGAAAAACGACGCATTGAAATTGTTTTTTTCACAATTGATGACTTCTAAGTATATGAAGTGAAACAGTTTATGCAACGAGCAAGCTTATTGATTTAGGCTGTGCCTAAAGGGACGCCTTAGCGAGCTGATTTAATCCTCACTCTGCAACGCTGCCGCGTTTGGTTATCGCGGTTGTGCCGCTGTGTTGCTCTTCAATGTGCTCGTCAGTGCCACGTCCGAAATTCTAAATTTCACAGCCCGCTCGGAGAAAAAAAAACGCGACTTAAGAAGCTCCCGGCAACGCAGGGCGAAACGTCGGACATCTTGCGAAAACAACGCGGTGCAAACCCACACACGAGTGTCGGAGAGCGAACTGTTGCGAGTTCCAACGAGGGGGTCTTCGTGAGGCGACGTACGCACGCAATGCATGGGAATCCGTGTCTCTCACACGTCACTTTGCAAACTACAAAACGCGAGCCGCTAAAGATACGCGGAGGTTGCGTTTCCATACGTCACGATCGCACGGGCGCCCACTGGATACGTTTCAACTGTCATTTCCACGTGCAATTAATATGAAACTGTATTGGATAGAAGCGACATACTTAGTCACTGGATGTCATTGGTGGAACTGTGCATCGATTCGTAGATTAATCTTGACTCGTAAGTTTATGATACATGCATATAATTGGTTTTGTAACAATCAATGTTTTAAATTCGTACATTTTGTATGCAATGGGTTCTGGTCACATTTACAGCCGATGAAGGCACTACAGTTCGCCACGTGATGAATTCATAATTTATTCTTGAACTCTTGAAAGTATAATTCAAGCGAAGATGTCCCCGCATTCATTAAATCGTAACTTTTATTTTGAACGCGCTTCTGAGGATTGTGTTTAAAAGCGATAACACACGACTCAAAGTACAAATTAAAACTGGGCGTGCAATGCTCCATCACCGTAAAGGAAAACACGCACTTGTAATTACTGGAGAATGCGGCGCGACCCCTTTGTTGCTGATCGTATATTACATTTACGTGACCCCTGACACTACTCTAAAACAAATCTCCGTGATACTTTTATGCCTACTAAGACACACACGCGGCGAATTGGCAACAGACAGAGGCCCAACTTTAAGCGCACGCCACTAATGAGAACAATCGCATATCCAGGTCCGAAGAGACATTTTCTACAACAACAAAAACATTATCCCGAGATCTCCTGGAAACTGCGCTACAATTATCGTTTCGCAAGCCATTTGAAGGGAAAAAAAAGCATAAACAACACTCATAAGCACACACTTAGGAGCCAAATGTAGCCCAGAGCCCCTTTTAAAAGGCACAGCCCATAACGCTACACGCCGCACAAACACCGGTGATGATGCAGCGGTGCCCACTGACAATTTCAGCGAGAATTAAATATTAACTCGGTCGCCATTTGTTGCGCGTTGTATAACGCCTGTAACATCGCCCTTCGTTTATCCAGGACGGCCACATTGAGTTGCAAGAATGAGCTTTTCACGAGGGCCCGATATTGGCACGTTTGGCCAACGGCTTAATTGAGTGTGTGTTGGCTTGCGGAGGGAAAGCAAAGTTCCTGGGGCAAAATCCCTGCATATCAAGGGACGACTCTCTCAAAGCTCCACACATATTGATTCATTCGACTGCTACAACCCCATCGCCTGGTCATCTTGCAGCTCCGAAACCTAACGTACCTTGGATTTTCCAGACTGTCTCCCACCCACATAGTAACCAGCCTCAACCATGCCAGCTCCCATTATCTGATGCAGATCTGATGCATTTACGACGTTTTCGTGAAAATCACAGAGCCATTGTGAGAGTGAGAACATTTTAATAGCTGGCATCAGCCTGTGAGGTCAAAGTTGGTCTTCATATTATTTCCTAATTAACGCTATATGGCAAAACACAGCTCTTGTGATGACATTATAATAATCAATAAGAATATAAACAATAAAAAGGGTGCACTCATTTCTATTCTGCTTTATTTTATCTCGCTAAATCCCAAAACGCCCGTTCACTACCAAAAGCCAATGTGCCTTAAATGGAGCGGGAGAATATGAAGCGACACAGTGGCTGCCCCTTTGCATCTGGAAGCAGGTTTTCCCCAGTGATAGCAGAGATGCGAAAGCGGGAGTGAATATATATATGGTACATCTATGGGTGACGGAACACAATGAACTGCAAGCGCA